GAGACGCTAATGGGACAGGAGGACAAGGGTCCATAACCGCGGTCGAAATCGCACGGTTGCTGGATAATAGAAGTGTTAGGAGGTCTCAGCTACCCTGGATAGAAATTTTTCCCTTCCAAGGAGAACGTGTATCGCATTGGCTTGATTTGCTGGAACAAGTGTTCAACCTATTGACGCCGACGAAGAAATTTGCCCAATTGTTTGAATACGTTCGGTGGGAATATCGCCCTGACGTTGAAAAGATTGTGGCCGATGCCCAAGGAAATTGAAACAGTTTCAAGAAGGAAATGAAAAGAAAGTACAAACTGGGAGATGGGTTGCTGACAATCGACCAACTTTATAACATCAACAAAAACGACTTCACCACGATAGGAGCATTTGCGACAACTTTCCAGAAAATGGACGAACGGGTACCAGAACTTTCCGAGGAAATGCAATATGTCATCTTTCTGGAAAAATTATCAGGCTATGAGATTATGGAGTTGACCCGGGGAGGAGCACTGGGGAGAAAGATGTCATGGGAAATGATAAAAAAAAACTTGGCATATGGGGATTTGGACCAGGTATTCCACAACCAAGTGAAGATGTAAAGGAAGAAAAGAAAGGAGATAGGGGTCGTCCAAAGGGGAAACTCTGCCCTAGGAGGGGTGTTGAGTAGTATGGTAACTCAACTGAAAGAGTTGAAAGATAAGGTGGAGTCGGAAAAAGTGATGGTGGTCGAACAAGTGACAAACAAGATAAGGTATGAAGAGGAAAATGAAGGGAATAAGGGAGAAACGAAACCTGAGGTGATAACACAGTCCAAGAAAGCCCAAAAGCAGAACCAAAACCAGGCGTCAAGGAAGCAAGGAGCAAGAAAAGAGCAGAGATCGCAGCAAACTGTGACACCGAATGTCCCAGGGGCACCAACCCCGACATCTCAATTTGGGCCTTGGCCGGTGGTGGCTCCTGTGGGGGTCTGGCCTGGCTACTACCCCGGTAGTTAGTGGTTGGGTTTCGGTCAAATTGGTATGTATCCAAACCTGCCCCACGCTCAGGAAGTTGGGGCAGGACCATCACAAGGGCGAAGAGCAGATGGGGGTTAGCCTCAGCACGCTCTTCCATCACAAGGTAATAAAGTTCAAAACCAATTTCAGGGACAAGGACATGGCCAAGGATACGGTGAGGGTAGAAATGGAGGAAGAGGAAATAGCCATGGAGGAAGAGGATTCGGAGGAAGAGGAAATGGTGCACAAGGTGGGAATTGGGAAAACCAAGAAGGAAATCAGGCTGGAAACTACAATCTGGTGAGCTTTAATCAAATTGGACAAGGTTACAACCAGGGTTATGGTCAGGGTTATGGCCAGGGTTATGGTCAAGGCTATAACCTGAACTATGGTAGGGGATTTGGAAGAAATGATGGGCAATGGAGTGGTCAAGGGACCGGGCGAGGTTGGATAGACTACAGCGAGTGCATATGTACGC